ATACGGGATGGGGACCGGGGGCCCTTTGAGCAAGACCCAGCAGGAAAATTTAAAAGAACTTATTTTTTGTTTTTTGACTTACTGAAACCTCCTTTCTTTCCAGGTGGTCCACAATGACCAAACACAGATCATGAAAATCCAGAGATGAACGCTATTTTCGGAAGCAGTCCTCTAAAGGAGCAGTGCCTGACCCGGCAGGCTGGGAGGCACTGAGAATGCACAATATAAAAATTCTCAGAATGTCACCCAAGGAGGTTTTGTTCCTGACATCACCCCACATTACCCTGGAGTCCCCTCTGCCCCAATGTGGCCCTAAATATGTAATAGTGTCCAACATCAAGTGATCAATCAATAAACATAAAAAAAAAGATTTTTAAAAAGATAATAACCACAACTGCAAAACCAGAGCCAGCAGCAGGCGTCTTGAAAGGCGGATGTCTCCAGAGATGCAGTGAGGCCAGCCCCTGTTTTTTCTGGATCAAAGCAGGGAGGCCTAGATCTGTCAGCTTGGCTGGATCTGGAAGCCCAGGCTCCACCCCGGGCCCTTGGAACACGTGAGCTGAACAAGAAAGGCTCCCAGCTATTCAGGGTTTAGTGTCCGATGCAGGTACCCTTCCAGCCCTGGTTGTGAAGCAGCCCGCGTCAGCTCGACGAGGTCGGTGATTCGTTACTGTGATGGTATAAAGGGGCAACCAGAGGTCGAGCTCATTAAGAACATCAGTGCTTCTCAGACTTTAATGTGCAAGAGTCATACTTAACAAGATTCACATTTAACCTTGTTAAGATGCACTTTTGGAGTCAGCAGGTCTGGGATGGGAGTGAAGAGGCTACATCTCAGACAAACTCCCAGTTGGTGCCACTGCTGATGTTCAGACCATGCTGCAAGGCGCCAAGGTCGTGGACAAGGTCGCGGAGCTGGTGAGCCAAGGTCGTGGACAAGGTCACGGAGCTGGCAAGAAGAGAGGTGGGATGTGGCTCTGGCAGCCTGACTCCAGAGCCCCCTCACCCGCACTAAGGGTGATACACGCATCACGGGCACCCCACCCCCTGGGGTCCTGGGCCTCAGCACAGGGATGAGAAACAAAGGCCTGTCACCTCTCCCTGGGGCATTTCCACCAACAGCACTGCGCGTCTGCTGACATGACACCGAGGATATGAAAACATTCAGACTCATGGGATTTTCCTTGAATCCATTAGACAGATGAATGGCCACTTGATGCCCTTCCTACACGAAGCCAGCTACAATTCCCTTCATGGACTGGATATTCTGGTTTAATTCCATACACGAGCATTAACTTTCAAAGACTCAGAGCCCCACTCATACCTCTGCCAACAAAGGGAGTCAATTTAATTGAATCTTGGGGGATTGAGGAAGGATATTCAAGATCTTGCAGAGCATCAGGGGTATCGCTTGGAAAATTAAACCTAGTTTAGTAGATGTGGAAGGTGTAGGCATTTGGGCCTGAATCTGTAGAATTACCTAGAAAGTGATTTAGAAGAGAAGGTCCTGATATGTGGTTTACTCGTCTTGAGGGTTTCAATTTCTATTATAAAATGGACATTTGCTAATTCGTATTTTCATTACATAGATGGAAGGAAGATTCCGACATTATCTGTAAGGTATGTGGAAGCGACCAGTCATACAAATAACACCCACCTCGACATAAGTCCCCAAAAATCCCCACCAGCCTTTATTTATTCCAAACACATTCAGAACATTTTAAGAGTTTGTTGTAGGAGTATTTATACCACTTAATTTATAGTTATTTTCTTTACCTTCCTTCTAAGCAAATCAAGAAAACAGAACGAGCAGCTGGCCTGCATCCTGGGCACACTCTCTGCCTGGATGCTCGGGGGGCCCAGGTGGACCTCACCGGCTGCAAACTCCCCACCGGGGCTCCCTCTGTCAAGCCGAGGCTCACCACCTGGCACCTGTCCAGTGTCCCCAGAACCTCTTTCCCCAGGGCAGGATTCATGAGGGCCTCCCAGAGAGGGCTGCCCACTTCGGGGTAAGAGGCCCATCCTCAGGAGGGCACAGGTCCTGGTCAGCTCTAGTTGGTCTGGCCATCCCTGCCCCCTTTCCATCATAAAACCACTCTGCAGAGGCGACCTCAGGTCCCAGCCGGCACCACACTGGACTTTAACAAGCAGCAGTGTGTCCCCCCACAACCCACAGTTCATTTTTATTTGCTTTATTGTCATAAATATTTTTCTTCCTCCCTCACATAAATGCTTCACCTCAGAGCAGGCTGAGTCTAGGGCACAGGCACAATGTTCACAGCTGATGCTATTTCCCTTAAGACCTCACATTTTTCTTTCTTCTGTTCAGCAATGTACCCTGGAGAGCCTTCTGTGTCTGTGCCAGATCTTTCTCCCTATTATACCTAAATCTACCTATATGGCTGCTTCCTTCCTTTTTATTTCCCTTCCCCCTCCTTGCACACTGTGTCCCTCCCCCCTCCGCCCCCCCTTAACCTCAGAGCTCTCACTTGGTCTGTAATGTCTGCCGGTGTTCATAAGTATTTTGCTTTGTCAGCTCATCTGCTGTGTAAACGTCTAGTATTTGTGTTTGTCATTCTGACTCACTTTACTACACACCATTCCCTACATGCCTTCCATTTCCCTGAAAATGGCAGTATTTTGTCTTTCCTTGTGGCTGATCAGTATTCTGCTGTGTGGACAGACCCCGTCCTCTTGGTCCAGTCCTGTCTGTGGTGCTCAGGTAGCCATGGCCTGGCCACTATGAACAAAGCCACAATAAACGCTGTGGGGCGTGTGGTTTCACGTCCCTTGGAGAGATGCCTGAGTGGGGGTGCTGGGGCAGAGGGTCTCTGCAGTTTTAGTCCCTTAAGGTAAATCTGCTCACCTCCCTCAAAACGTGACACCAGTTCACATTCCCGCCAACAGAGCCTCTCCCTTTGTGCTTATGTTTTGAAACAACCAAACCAACCAAACATGACAAAACTAAAAAAAAAAGCAACAAGACAAAACACTTCCAGCAGCATCATGTGGTCCAGCAGCATCATGTGGCCAAGATGGGCCAGAACAAAGGGGCAGAGGGCAGAGGGCAGCCCCTGAGCTCAGTGTCCCCAGCCAACACCCAGCCTCTGTCAGGGGACGGTGGCCTTGGCTGCACCGAGCTCCCCTCCCCCTCACACAGAGAAGGCCACGCTCACTCCTTCTAGTGCCCCCCACCTCCTCCTCCAAGCACTTAAGAAGGTATAGTGGGGTGCACTGAAACCCCACAGGAGAAAGGAAGCAGACATGACTGAAAGTTAACCATGAGCGCTCTCAGTCACCAAAAGTTCTGGAATTTGGAGCTCCCCACCAGAATCCGCCATGACGCCTATCCATTGTCATTAACCTTCCGAACTCATCATGGCATCCAGCCGTGGCTTTTGCACGGCTGAAGATGGCAACAACCTCATCCACATGAGTGTCACCACCTCCTGCAACCCCCAGCCCCCCGCCCTGTAAGCAATGCCGGTCAGTGCACCCTCCAGGCACAGGCAGCTGCCAGCAGCCCACCCGCAGGTGAGTGAGAAACAGGGGGCTGAAGGCCATATTCATGGAGACCCCCGAGAGAAGTGGGGGCATGGGTGGGCGGAGAAGAGCTGCACTCAGTGAAATAATCAGAACAAAGACCAACCGTTGTGATTCCACTCACAGGGGCATGTGGTGCAAACAACAGAGATGACTCAAACAGGACGAGAATATCCTGTGGCCACAAGAAAAATCAGTGGCTACCAGGAGGGCAGGGGCGGGGGTGGGTACGTCAGGACAGAAGATGCCAGACTTGGACCTTTGGCCATGAACTTACATACACATGCTTATTCTCAACGAAGAGCATCCGAAACATACACTGTTATAATGCAGCGTTTTTTAAGTCAATAAAATAAAAAATAAGTTCAAGTGAAGAGTGTGCTGTTTCTTTCCCTTGTCCCTGAAAATTTTCCTTCTCTTTCCTGCAGTCTCCTTTATCATTTTTTAAAATGTTATTAAATTATTTTTAATTTTGGCAGGAGGCATTTCTTGTTATCTCGGGCCTCCATCTCGCCGCTTCTGTCTAGGATTCTCTGACCTTGGGAAAGGTCTGCCTCTCCCTTCAGTTATCTGTGTGGGAGAGAAACGAACTTTTACCTTGTAAGTCATTACTATTTGCTGTTCTCTACGGCTCACCGCCAACAAGAATTCTACATACTGTTACATTTACTTAGATTTGTGGAATGAAAGACTAAGGAAAACATACTCATACTGTTAGAATAATAAAGGAATCTTCATCCTTGCCAAAGAGAAGCATTTTGGGAGTGGGCGGGGGTGCAGGAAGCGGGAGGAATCTTCTTACACAAAAGCCGCTGTGGGCAGTGGAGGAAGTTGCCTTGGGTCCCGCAAAGGACCAATATCGCCTCTAGAGAGGGTCTCTACAGTTTTAGTCCCTTAAGGTAAATCTGCTCACCTCCCTCAAAACATGACACCAGTTCACATTCCCGCCAACAGAGCCGCTCCCTTTGTGCTTAGGTTTTGAAACAACCAAACCAACCAACCATGACACAATTAAAAAAAAAGGCAACAAGACAAAACACTTCCAGCAGCATCACGTGGCCAAGATGGGCCAGAACATCTACTTCTTGAAATTTCTCTACATTATCAGAAACATCCACCAAGGCACGTCTCAGGGACATAAGTGAAGAAAAGACAGGCAGAAGGGGAGGGGTGCGCGTGGGACCTTGGCCATATATCCCGGCCCTAGACCAAGGTGTCTCTACCACCCCGAGCTCCCCAAAAACAAACACCATCCCAGTGCCTCTTCCATCCCTAGTGTCCACTGTCAGTAGGAAAACCTTGTTTTGTGCTTACGAAGTGCTCAGCTCGAATCTGACGTCTAAGCACATTCTCCTTCTAGTCAGAGCTTCGCCTGCATCTCCACGAGAGGCCGTCCCCGCCGACCTGACTTCAGAGGACACTTTGGAGCCAAGCACCCCCGTCAGGAGGGCCATTACCTGGCTGTGCAGCTGGCAGGGCAGCCCCGGCGTCCTCCTTCAGGATCACGGCCAGCCCCACCGAGTCGGCCGGGAGCACGGAGCTGCTGAGGTCCACACGCGTCAGGCTCTGGGGCTCACGGGCTGAGCCCCCCGCGGCCTTTGCAGGGCCGTCCCCTCCGGGGGTGCCCCCTTGTTCACTATGGCTCCGGGGCCGCAGCACCATGTGGACGATGCTCTGCTGGTCCAGGTCGCAGTTCTGGGTGGGAGGAGAAAGACAAGGTTCAGACTCAAGTGCGGCGGGGCTGGGCTCAGCTTGGGTGTGCAGGGCCCCCTGCAGCTGCAGGTCTGTGCAGGCCGGGACACTGGGGTGCGCGCCCTCCAGCCAGGTGCCCACAGCAGCCCCGGAGGAGGCCGAGGCACAGTGGGGGCCGCGGCTCCAGCAGGGAGGAGAGTGCTGGCCGCAGCTGGCTCGGGGGAGTTTCCTTACAACCGGTTCCGACCATGTCACACGTCAGGGCTGGCATTTGTTTCTGTCTCTGAGAGCCCGGACACGTGGCCACCAGCTACGGGGCGCTCTGTGCTGGAGTCTCAGTGTCGCTGCCGGTGGGTCCCGCAAGCTTTGCTGCCCCCAGCAGCTGCTTCCCACTGGCCAGCAATTCCGGGGCCCCAGCAAGGGGCTGACCCTCTGCACAGCCACAAGCACCGGCAGGAGCGTTTACACTTCGGTAGGGCGGAGTTGATCATTTGCTGGGACAAAACCTAGACTCCCTGAAATGGAACCCCAGTGTAGGGTAAAGAAAATGTCAGGCTTTTCTGCCCTTCCGCCATCAGGATAGATGATGGATCCTTGTCCTGAATGCATGCCTGATGGCGGGCACCTGGAATAGGGTGTGGGCATAGGTAGATGGGATTCAGCTGAGCTAAGACTGTGCTTTTAAGGGCGGCGTCACAGGGGGACGCCAGCAGCCCCAGCCAGCAGCAGCAGAACCTGAAGGAGAAGCCGAAGCAGAAGCAGAGAACGCCAGAGAGCCCAGATAGAGTGAAGACTTGCTGGGGGCTGGGAGGCCTGCCAGCCTCCCAGTCCCCCAGCCAGCACCCCTGCCTGCCATATGCCTGGTGAACCTCAAATAAAAGACCTGCAAACCACTGAGGACTCTGACTCCTCCTTTACCCGGTCTGCATGGGATCAGAAACCTGCCTTGTGCCCTGTCCGGCCCCTACACCCAGTTTTTGTGTAGCTGCTACAAAGAGCCCTGCTTGGACCTTGCTTTCTCCATAAGCCCCTGCACCTCAGTTCTCATCTCAGGAAGCTCAAACCACACCATGCAATACCGGTAACAACAGCAGGCTCTGCCCCTCCCCTCGACCCTACACTGTCGCCGCCCCTCCCAGGAGGCACACGGCTGCATGGTGTCGGCCCCTGGCCTCTGGAAGCCCAGGTGAGGCCTCCTGTCCCCAGTCCCCTTCTGACCTCTTCCCCACCCCGTGCGCTGACCTCTGATGCACTGATACCCTCGCCCTCCAGCTTCCAGTCTCACAGTTCTGTCTGTCCTACTGTGTGCTCGATCTAAACCTGCTGTGTGCTCAGCAGTGGTCATGGTTTGTCATTCTCTGTCCCCTCATGCAACCCTTCCTGATCCCCTGCTTGTGTCAAAGTACCACTGGCCCCCACGTTATCCCACAACCAAGCCTTCCCTCCCACCCCACTGTGATTATCCTGTTTCCTAAGTGCATCAACAGTGTCTACCCCTGAACCCCCGCCCCCAGCCCAGGTACATCCTGTAAGGAGCCACGAGTAACTAAATCAACTCAGAAATACCCATCTCTAATTGGTAAATCACTCCCTTTCCTGCAGCCTCTCCAAGCGGCTCCAAGAATTTCTGGCAGGTGCTACAGAATCTTTCAGTCTCTCACAGCTACCTGCTGAATAGAACACACCTGACTATCTCCTTCAAGAGTGTGCACCATGGCGGCAGCCAATCAAAGAGTACCCCCGGGTGGCTTCCACCTCCTTCAGCCCAGGCAGGGACAGCACGCCGGGCACCGACCCGGGGCCAGCCACAGAGAAAGCCTAGTGCCGCCGCCCTCCGCGAGAGGAGCGCCCTCCCGTCGGGCTCAGGGCTGGGACCTCCAACGCCCTGTGGCCTGAAGAGATGCTTATTGAGGTTTGGCACTGACAGTCTGTGGTTGTTCCCTAAGCAGTTACAGCTGACAATCCTCCACTCTAACTGGACTAATAGCTACTCCGTCGCTATCAGTCATCACGTCAGTTTCCAGCAGCTGAAAAACCTTAGCCTAAGTCACTTCAAACCAACTCACATCAAGGTCCGAGTACAAGCAGGTGTGAGCACGTGAGGCCTGCACTTTGCAACAGGGAGAAACGCTGAGATTAGCATCGTCCCCGAGCCTGAGGTTTTTATCCACTTTGTGTTCCTTTCAAGGATTCTCAAGAATTTGGTCAGATAAAACTTCTCTTCCTATGCTTACAGGCTTCAAGTGATCACTCTGGATAAAGAAAGCCTTCCTCACTCATCAGAATCCAAACAAACTTTGCTGGCCATGCTCTTATTGCAATGGTCAGGACTTGGAAGTTGCGTGGTATGTACATGTGTGTGTGCGTGTGCATGAACATGTATCTGATCGTCCAGCTTAATTCAGAAATTCTTTAGTGCAGCGACAGGCTTGTCCTTGTCTTTTTATTTATAGAAATGCCTCCTACAGTGCTTTGACCCTAGTACATGTAGAGAACATGACTAGGAACTGAAAAGGTGAGGAGCTGAAGGGAAACAGAGATGAATGAGTGAGTGAACAGATATAAACAGCCATAACCTCAATACCGAGATGCTCCACGGGAGCCAGAGGATGTGGAAGGGAAACACTGAACTGAAAGTCAGATGGACTCAAGCCTGAAGTGATCTATTAGTTGTGTGATTTCTGGCAATTTTTTTTTCTCCCTAATCTTCAGTTTCCACATGTGTCACTGGCATAACTTTACCAACTAGGAAGTTGACTCTGGGGGAGTCTGGCAAGATGGTGGCAAAGCAGAGTCTCCGGGGTTCCCCCCTCCACTTAATTATAGCCAAATTATAACAGAACAAAGAAAACTACTCCTGAAAGATAAGCCTGATCATCACATACATCAGGAACAGTGTTAAGACAAAAAAAGGTAGGAAAAAATCGTAATTAAATTTTGTTTAAAGCAAATACCAGGGCAGTATAATCCATGACAGGGAGGAGTGGCTTCTGTACGGAGCACCCCTGCTGGTACTAGCTCAAGGGCACATCCCTGGGGTTTTATATCCTGGAAAAGGGAGAAGTTGGTGCAAAGCCAGCATGCGCCACTGGAGAGCTACATTACCTACATTAAAGGTGAGGACTATCGACTAGCTTGAGCCTGAGGCTTCTGATCTAGAAAAGCTGGAGCCTGAACCAGCAAGGAGAGCCAGATCCCACTGCCTGTGTCTTCTTATAGTTACTACTTGCAGCCTGAGGCTGGGCCATTAGAAACATGGGCCCTCATCCTCCCCGCAAGGCCCTCCCCATGCCCCCCGGCCCTGATATTAGAAAACCCAGACAACTGAGTATGCTTACTAGCCAAAGGTCAAAGCACCTGGAGATTAGCAACAGGATCGAGTATCCCAGACTCCACACTTGAAAAGCAAAGAGAACATTCTCTGTCTTGGGACTGTGTCTCAACTCTAGTTCTCACCCAGTGCTACATCTAGTCCTCAGCCACAGCCTAGAGGTTGAGGCAGGCACAAGACTGTAAGAGACATTTATGCCAAGGATTTGGCTTGGGGAGAGAATCACAGTGGATTCTGATGACACAAAATTGGTGCTGACAGCACTATAGGAAATTTGACCTCCAGATGCTCGCCAGAGTGACCTTTCCTGTGCCCTGACCTGCAACAGCTCACGCCTACCTATTTCCACTAACTGACTCCAATGCCCCGAGTTTCTGCAAAGGTACAGGTGGCAGTCTGTGAAGGAATAAACACCTAAATATCCTAGGTAAAAAATATAAGATTATATTCATTTTTTTGGTAGGAGAGTCATAGCTCAATTTATTAAGGCATGAAGATTTAAGAAAAGGAAACTTCATCACAACCCATAAAATAATGAAAACACATAACATATTACAAATACTAGATGAAAAAACAGAGACATTTTGATTCAGAAGACCTGTGGAAGAGAAAGAGTTTAAGGTAATAGTTATGACAATGCTAATTTAATTAAGAAAAAGAGTGGGCAATGAAAAATAGGAACAAAATAAAGATTGAGGCAATCTGAGACTATTACAAATAAAATTAGTAGAGCTAAAATACTATATTCCAAATTAAAAAGTATAATAGAGGGCCTCAACAGTAGACAAATATAGTGAGGGGAATTGGTGAGCCTGTAAGCACAGCAATGAAGATGAATATAAAAACACAGAAAGAACAACAAAGAGAAAAAAATAAATTAAAACACTGAAAATAGTGTAAGAGCTCTTTGTGATATGCTAAAAAGAAATAACAAATAATGTCCATATTATGGGAGGGGGTCCAAAAGATAAGAGAAAGGCATGGGAAATTTATTTAAGGAAACAATTGTTAAGAACCACCTCACTCTGGGAAATGAACCAGACTTCCTGATCCAAAAATCCCAAAGAACTCCACACAGTGTAATACTAGATCCACCACACCCCAAGACATATTGTAATGAAGCTGTTGAAAGCCAATGTAAAGGACAGAACATTGAAAGTATCTAGAGAAACAAGAATAAATAGGTTATGAAGGAACCCCTAATAGTCTGTCTGTGGATTATCCAGTGGAAACCTTACAAGTGAGAGGAAATGGCAGAAGATACTTACAAAAATAAATAAATGAGCAAATAATAAATTAACTCCAGCCTAGAATACTTTATCTTGTAAGACTATTATGCAAGATAGAAATAAGGGTAAGGACTTTCACAGAAAAGCAAAAATTAGAAAAATATATCAACACCAAGTTGGACATGAAAGAAATAGAAAGGTTCTATTAGAAAGCAACAGCAAAAACAAATATAGAGGTTACAGATATCTAAATTATACAATATATTGGAGAAAAGTAGAATATGTGACCCATCAGAACAATCTGACACCAGACTGTCAATGGGACACAAAACAGTTCATCATATACTAACCTCAGCAGAACCTTCAAACAAAAATCAATAGAAGTGACATATAAGACAATAGAAATGGAAACTAAACAAAATATAAAAGATGTTTGAAAATAA